ACTGTACCAAATAATAATTAGAAGTTCAGACAATCAGATATTGTTGTTAACACTTGTTATTGTGTACCATAGATAACATTATTATCAATGTTGAGTACTGAAGTAATATCACAAATCACAGCTTTACCAAATATGTAATACTCTACTACTAAAGTTAATAATTTGTTATAATYAAGTTTGACAAGTTTTATATTAAGTTGATGCAATGAGATATTTGTYGGATGACTTAGATACAATACTGTGCAATATTCATAATAATATTTTATTATATTGTACATTTTATAAGGTTCTCTAATACCATTAAAAGGATACAAACTTACTGTAGTTTATATGATTGTCATATTGTTATTCAAATTTATTGCTAATTAATTATTAATTGGTAAATAAACTGAGTTTAAAGGACTCATAATTTGTTTTTGAATCGTAAAAATGTAAGTTATTTCAATAGTAAAAATATTCTTATACATTATGTAATGAAAAAATAAATATTAGGTACAATAATAGATAATATTTTTCTGATTAATAGTAACTATATTTAAAATGCCCAAGAAGTTTGTTGGCATGAATTCTAAAGCTTCAGAAGCCAAAGCTCGACGAGATGCTATTAAACAAGAAGCAGATGCTCTAAAAAAAAAGGCGATTGAAGATGAATTTTGGAAAGATGATGACAAGAACATTGCTAAAAAACAAAAAAGAAAGGCAAGTTGTCTTATATTTTTAGCACATTTTTACTAATCTTATATATCATTTATATATAAAATATTAGGAGGAGAAAGAGAAGAAAAAAATTGAACACTTAGAAAAGAAACGAGAAGCACAAATATTACTGGAAACTGAACTTAGTGAAATTAAGACAACGCAAATTAAYCAAAAAATCACTAGGCATCAGCTTATGGTAGTATATATTTAAAAGTAACAATATATTGTGTGTACATTTGCTTAATAATTCAAACATTTTAGAAAGAACTTGATACTTCATCAAATCTTAAGTCAAAATCAACATTGAATGAAAATGAAGAATGTTCTATTGAAGAAAATTTAAATCGTTTGACTATGCATGATGAAGAAGCACGAACAGTTGATGAGGCTCTTGATATGCTAAAGTAAATACATARTTTATTTTTAGAGAACTAAATAATTATTGTTATAAATAAATATATTGGATGATTCATTAAGTATGCTCAACCTTATTTGATCTTTAATAATACAATTTTTCAAATTCTGATTTTTAGAATTTCTAAATGTATTTAAAAGCCATTTGTTTTAAATTTCTGAATTTCTTTGTGGTGCATACTTAAGGAGTGTTTTGAGGCGACTCAAACTTCTGTTTTATTCTAATCATAACCCCCYTTTTCAAATGCAATTTTTTACCAAATAATTTTTCCATTATTGTTGACATATTAGATTGAAAATTCAAACAAGTATTTTTTGAGTTATTTAACTTTGTGTTCTAAGGGTAATAGGTTCACTATAATAGGTTTGGAAAAAATTATTGAAATTAATTATTGTGATTATTATAAATTTATCAACATTAATGATTTGTAAAAATAGTCCAATAATAATAAATACTA